ACATGACTAGTAGGGTTTTCTGGCTTCCATCTGCGACTAGGGTAGTCCTTGTGATAGAGTAGCTACTTTGGATAACTGGAGGGGACGCTAGGTTCCTAGTAGAGATGGAGAAATGGATGTCAAACCAATTAGTGGTCACCCGTTCCTTTCAACCTGGCTACAAATGCTGATTGCTTCATCCTGTGCCTGGTACATTAAGGTCTCATGTGCCCGGGGACAGGTTGGAATCAGAAATCATAGACTTTTCCAGAAACATAGAAAAAATGTCGATACTGAGCCACTGTTGTTCCCAGAGGACCAAGAGCAGGACTTGGCACAGTTGGGAAGGTCGGAGCCCCTGCTTCTTTGAGCACCCATGCTCCCCCCAGGGGAGTGTCACACAGGCTTATGTCCTACCCTGTGTCCTTCACATGCCCATCTCCCAATCATGGCTGAAGCCCACCAGCCTCCATCCTCTGTGAGCCCACCTCAATTTCTGGTCCCCAACACTGCCCCAGTGCCATGGTAGGGAGTTGATGCTCTACTTTCCCAGGAAGTCAAAACAGTGGACCTATCCCAGGTGGAGAGCACAGGACAAATCTGGGGTAGCCACTGAAGGGCTCAAGGACTGTCAGAGCAAAGAATGAAACAACAAAGCCACCCTGTGGTCCCACCCCGGTCCTTCCACACTCTCCTGGTGCTGTCCATATCTCCCTTGTAGGAAGCTCCGTCCATCGGGATGACATCTTCTGCACCTTTGGGTCCCTGGACTGCCAGCATAGGACTGGGCACAGAATAGGCCCTCGCTGCCTGCTCCAGGGAGGAATACATATGTTCCTCATTCCACCTGCACCTCTCTCGTTTAGAGGCCAGGAATTATGTATTGTTAACTGAGGGCTGCTGTCAGCTCTCTGTCTTCCCTGCAGGCTGAACCTTCATGTTTCTTTCAGGTATCAATGATGCTTTCACACCTTTCCCTGTTTATCAGAGTCCTGGTGGATTATGACACACCCTCGTCTACCTGCACCATGTAAAAAGCACAGGCAGACTTTGGATGCCACCAATCATAGTTGGTCCTAATAACCTTTTGCTTGTTTTTTCTTTACTAAACAAAGAACAGCTGAATTTCCATGTTGACTTTAAATAAATTCGGTAAGGAGATCGCTTCAGTCTGGTGCCAACGTTGCATAGCTGCACATCGGGAAAGATGTTTTTACTTTAGACAACTGTGCTGTGCATCTTGGGAATAAAAGTATGAGCTAGTGATAATACTGAGAAGTAGTCCTTTCATTTTTAGATGCTCTGCTTATGTCTTTAAAAATCACAAAGGAGGTTAGTATGTGCTGTAGTGTGAGTTATAGTGTGTGAGAGACAGACAGAACAGTGGCACCCAGCTCATCAAAGGCAGGCCGGGCAGGAGCCTCCCTGGTGCTTTATGTGTCAAAGAAAGATCAACATTCTTCATCCTGCAGATGCTTGAAGTTCCAAGTACACCTACGTAATTTCTGTCACCGTTTTTGTCCGTGCATGTTATACATTTAGTATATTGTGTTACCGCCTTCGCTGTGCACTTCATGGCATCAAATAAATCCCCAGTGATGACACCATCTGCACTCTGAACGTCATCCTTCATGGAAACTCTGTACCCATTAAGTAACAACTCCACTCTGCCCTGGGAGCTGTTCTGTGCTGGGTCTCCATGAATCTCCCTCTCTGGCTGTCCCAGATAGGTGCAGTCATACCACATGCACCCTTCTGGGTCTAGCTGATGCCCTGCGCTTTGCCTTGCTATCTAATCAGAAAGGGAGTCCAAGCCCACCCCACCTCTTCCTCTCACCTCCTTTACCTTCTTCAGGCTATTACCACCCGCAGACATGTCTTGTTCATTTCATCTCCCTTGCTGCCACTTGCTTAGCATCAGCCTAGGCGCCCAGTCCACACTTGTTGATAGAACAAGTAATCTGTTCTCTTTCAGTATTGGATACCAATGACCGATTTCTGCGAAAAATAACCATCGGGCAGGCCAGCACGGAGAAGGGATATTCCCGGCAGGTAGGTGGCGCTGTCTTCCCGGAAGTGGCCCTGTTTGGGTCACTTGGATTGATTCCCTCGCTCTCTGCTTTTCTGCCTCTTCCCTTCCCTTCTCGCCCACCTCCCTGTGGTGGCAGGGGCTCTCCTGCTTCTTCGGGATGCAGGACTGAGAGAGCCTGGGGGCAGGTGATGCATCTGCATCACCACAGAAGAATGAAAATCTCAGACACTTGAATTTCATAAACCAAAGAACGAACACCTAGTCATTGGGCTTCACAGCACTGAGTTTTTCAAAGGAGAATGGCTTTCTTCCACAGAGGGTGTGGAGGAGAAATGATGAGGTCTGCCCTCCTTTTAATGGGTCTCTGAGTGGGTCAGCAGCACTTTGGGAATAGAAATTCATTTCATAATTTCTTAGCCAGGTGCAGCAGGTTCTGATTTTTTTTTTATAATAAACCTCATATTTTTGGATAGTTTTAGGTTTATTATCTTTACACATTAAGTCTGTATTAGTGGGGAGGAGAGAAGTAATTTTTATTGTAATAACAAGTCCTCGTACCAAATAGACTTTGGGACCTTTTGAAATAATAGAAAAGTGAATATGGGCATTGGATCAAGAAGACAAACTAAGCCCATGAATTTTCTTCCTCCTCCAAGTCCCAGAACTTGGACACAGACAGATTTCAAACAGGTAGACATCTTCAGTTCTGCAGATAAAAAGCCATTGCTGACATAGGATGCAGAAACGATAAGAGATAATTTTGACATTATTAAAAATGAAAATGAAAATCTCCAACATAAAAAAGTGACACACATAAAAACATTAAATGATGATAATAAAGGTCTGGGAGGGGATCTTTAACAACACACCTGGCAAAGATCCATGTGCCAAACCAAAAAAGCATCTGGTAGCAAAAGGCAAATTCTGCTCTTACAGTCAGGTCTTCCCTGGCCACCTATGCAAATCCCCAGACCCCTCTCTCCTTCCCCTGCTGGACTTCCGCCTTTACACACATCTGCTTATCATGTTTTTCTCAGCCTCTCCTGCTCCAGTGGGAGTTTCATGAAGACAAGGACTTTGCCTTTGGTATTCATGGCCATATTCCTTTCGCTTGGGACAGAACTTGGTTACACAGTAGTAATAGCAGGTGTTCGATACGTTTTTCTGAGCACATAAATACAATGCAGATTCAGGAGAAAAATGCCAGCATGTAAAACTGCAAATGGGAACAGTGAAGTGCTACACACTGCTAGCTGACCAAAAGATGCATAGTCAATACTAAATGTTGGAGAGGATGCAAGGAAACAGAGACTTTGTAGAGTGTTAGGGGAAGTAGAAGTTGGCAAAGACTTTTTGGAAGATCATTATTGTTAAGATTTGAAATGATCCAACAGTTACCACTTAATGACCAAAATTATTTTGGAAGAGAACGAGAAGGAATATGTGCTTGTGTGCAAAAAAAAAAAAGAGAGAAAGAAAAAGAAACAAACTCTTAAGGATATTAATTGTAATGGTGAAAATTTGAAACATCCCCAATGTCCATCAGTGGGACATTTATTGCTATTAAATTATTATATTAATTATTATGGAAAGTGGAAAGATGTACCTTGGCACTCATGGCCTCTGAAAACAGGATTAGGAAAGAAAGGGAGCAGCAACATGGTCTTTATCCTTTGTTCTACAACTTTCCTCTTGTTTGCTTAGGCCGGGGAGAGGTGCAGGATGAACAGTGACTGTGATGTGTGTACTGTGTGACTGATATTGACAGGCCCCTTACGTACTTCAGCACATTCAGTTTATAAATCTGATTTACCAGTTTAAAAAAAAAAGTGGTTTTTTTTAACTGACTCGCCCAATCTCATATTGCTTTAGGTGTACTTTTAAGCAAAAAAAGAATCATATTTAAAAGATTTAGCTACATTTTTTAAAAACATAGGCTATGGAGAATATTTTATGTCAATAAAGGTAGATCTATGTCATCTTTTTATTTTTGGTACCAGCACCAACCACTGAGCCACATCTCCAGCCCTTTTTATCTTTTATCTTGAGACAGGATCTCAGTTGCTTAGGACCTAAGTTGCTGAGGCTGGCCTCAAACTTGCAGTCCTCCTGCCTCGGCATTCTGAGCCACCAAGATCACAGACATGCACCACTGCACATGGCTACATCATCATTTTTAATGGTTATTACAACATCTCATCTCATAAATGTACCATAATTGATTCATCCAGTTCTCTCTCAGTGGACGTGTAGGGTATTTACAGTGTTACATCATCCTAAATAAGCTATAATGAAAATAGTATGAATAGCTCCCATCCTCCACAATGTGCATGGTACAATTAGTAAAGTGAATAGTAATATTTAAATTGGCCCAATTTGTTTCCTTTATTTTCATTATTATTATTACTTTGGTATTGCTCAAGTTACAAATTTTGAAATTGCAACATACAAATGGAAAACTGTATATGTATTACAAATTCCTCTTATTTACACAGTTAATGTTGTAAGAGATTCATAGTCTCATATTTTATATAGGAAAAATCTCAATATTTTAGTCATTTTCTTATATGCATGATTTATCATATAATGGTATAGAGTCCTAGATTTCATACAACAAAAAAGTCACTTGCATTTGGAATTTGTTATACTGAGAAAGTAATCATTGAGTATGGCTGTATTTGACTTTCAGGTGATATTTTTTTCACTGAGTCGGTGACTAATGCAATCTTAACCAGGAAGGAGCCAGAAAGCTCCTTATTTTCTTCATTTCCTCACTTGTCAGTGGCGGAAATGGGTAATAAAGGACTTCCTAAGGCAGCCCCACCAGGGCATGGCCATTTTCTCCCTGTTAACTTGCACTTGTCTGGCTCACACCCCCCTTGGGAAGAAGAGAATTAAGCTGGAACTCAATGATGTGGTTTTGTCCAAACTTTCCTAGTGTTGGAATCATGAGGGGGCGGCACACATTCCTTGGATCCCTTTTGGTTCCCCTTGGACTTTACACAACCTGGAGTCGGAGCCAAGACAGAGGAACAGGAAGTCCTAGGAACTTTTCACAGAAAAGTCGCTGCTCCCTGGCTTTGCTGCTGCTCCAGTCAACTCCGTGCCACTCTTTGACAACTCTGCTAAGCTCTGACTCTGGGAAACTAGTCTCCCGTGCACCAACCCAAAGGGACCCTCTTCTTTTACCTTCTGTTCCTTATCTCTTTACTGGACAGACAAATGTAGCCTCCTAGACAGTGGAGGTAGCTAGTCGGCTGTTCATTAATTCAGTCAGCATGCATTGAGCACCTACTGGGTTTCACATATTGTCCTGCCCGAGTGAATCCTTCTGTATGACCCCTGCCTTCATGGTACTTCCAGCTTGGTGGTGGAGACACACGGTAGATGGGTAATGATTTTAAAACTTAATTTCAAGTCTGAGTCCAGTAGCCAAACACATGGTGCTGTGAGCAGGTCTAACAGTCCCCATAGCCAAATCCTGGCTCAATAGTACAGTGATAGCGCGGCCATGCCAGGGAGGCTACCCTAGATGTGCCAAGCACAAGACCTTGTGCGCTCTGCACACTCAGAAAACTGCTACGTGTGTGAGCACGGCCACTGA